GAATGAGCTTGAAGAGGCCCTGGGGAGGAACTGAGGTGCAGGAGAGCCTGTCCCCCGCCTTTAGGAGATGGCAGGTTTCCAGGCTGGAAGGTGAGGGCCCTCTCTGTGCCCCCTCTGGGCATCCTCTCTTCACAGGTGTACGTTATTGGCCATGTGCCCCCGGGCTTCTTTGAGAAGACCCGGAACAAGGCTTGGTTCCGGGAGGCCTTCAACGAGAGGTACCTAGAGGTGGTGCGGAAGCACCATCGGGTCATCGCAGGGCAGTTTTTTGGGCACCACCACACTGATGGCTTCCGGATGTTCTACGATGACCAAGGTACTCACCTGGGGGGAGGCTGCCAGCCCAGCTCCCCGCTTCTCCCCACAGCCTTTCTCAGCCCTGCCGTCTCTCTCCTGGAAGGTGCCCCGCTCAGTGTCATGTTCCTCACTCCGGGGGTCACGCCCTGGAAGACCACGCTGCCCGGAGTGGTCGACGGAGCCAACAACCCAGGCATCCGGGTGATCGAATACGATCGTGCCACACTGCACCTGCAGGTCAGGAGCCCTGGGTCTGGGGGCACACCGCAGGGGCGGGGAGGGGGACCTAAGTACATCACCCCTTTCCTAGCACTGTCCTGCCCAGTGAACCCACCCCCTACGGAGCACGGGACCTTAAGAGGGTCAAGTTACTACAGAAAGGGATTTAAGCTTTCTAAAGCTCTCCTCTCATCCCGTCTCTCTCCTGCTCACAATCCTTCACGGGCTCCCCAGGCCTGCGTCTCCTGAACCTGTTCCTCCAGGTTTCCGACAGTCTCACCTCAGACCCATGCCAACCTCTGCCCTACGCCACCTCTAGCTGGGCTCCAGCTGAGGCAGGCCCCAGGCTCACCAAGCACTCCTTACCTCCTAGGGTGTGTTTGTGATTGTGGGACTTGCAGAGAAACGTTGGCTGGCTCCTTTGTCTCGTTTCATGTATTCAGCCGATAAGAAGCAGCTGCCACGGGCCGGCACTGCACCGCACGGCTGTGAGCTCAGGGGAAAACTAAAGGGATAAACCCTGACAGTGTCGCTGTTCCCTGGGAGCCGACATCCTTTTGAGGGGAACAGACAATACCAAACCAAACCAAATCACTACCCCTGGTGACGCTATAGGACGTGGCAGAACAGCCCTGGGG